CACCATCGTAAGAGCCGGCTGTCAGAAGGGCTGGGGACTGTCAAGCCAGGCACTGTGGATGAAAACCAGTATATACACATCATTATAATACACAGATGGTTATGTTGCTTTGGAGGTATTTTATCTGTTGTGATAATTAACCTTGTATTATACATTTCCCCTTAAGTTCCTCTTACTTAGTTTTCCCTCTATGACTTGTTTTGTGTCAAGCTTAAAAATCCCCCATGTAAAATGATAAAATTATTCATCATAATTTTATACTTATCTGATAGCTTTTCAAAATTTATTTGCTGTTTGTTTCATACCATGTGTGACATCAGAATCTCATTTTCTTTCATACACATCCACATCTGCCCCTTGGTAAATAAGGCTGTCTTTGTCACTGAACTGAAATACCAGTTTTCTCATAAGCATGTATGCATGTCTGGGTCCACATTGTATACTGCTGTGCCAAAAGCTTATTGTTTTAATTACTTGACATATATTTGGGTATGTCTTTGAATCAGGGATTTACAGACCTCAGGCTTCCATCAAATAGCCTGTGTTCAAATCCCAGTTCTGCCCCTTCACACCAAGTTTTGTGGCCTTGTACAACAAGTTTTGAGGTCATTCACTCTGCCTCTTTCAGGCTGGGTCTCCTCTCCTAGAAAACGTTGATTGTAGTAGCAGCCACCTTATAGGGTGTACTGAGCTGAAGACAATACCTGGCACTAAACTCTCCATCATTGCTGAGTGTCGTCCTTGTGGCGGGTGATGCTGCTGCTTTTCAGTCAGTGCTTGTGTGAACATTTCTTCCTCTGCTCTCCGTGGTCACGCCATCCCTCAAAAACAAGTGACTAACATAGACGAGAGCCTGATGAATTTGGGTCCTGTCGCTCAGGGATGATCAGCGTTCAGCTGGGGCCTGTTTGGGGCCCATTGTCTCCTCCCTAGGGTGTGAACTCTCCTGCCTGTGGTGGGGTCCGCTTCCCCACTGTGTAGTGTAGGGAAGCCTTGCATCTCTCTCCGTTTGCTCTGCCAGGACCTGTGAGGGCCATCCATCCAGTTCAAGGGGGAAACCCAGTGTAGGAAGCCCACTGTGTCTAGGTCCAAACAGTTCTTCAAATCTCTTTTGTTAACAAGAACATACTGCATTAGGATCCACCTGACTTCTGCGTATGTTTCTCAATTGGTTTAGAACATATCCCTCTCTCTTATCATTAACTATCCCCAAATGCCTACAGTTATTAAGTAGGAACATGCTTTGCATTTACCTGACAAATATTTGTTAAAGGAAGAGGTAGCCAACCTGGAGGCCCCAAATGTCAAATCAGACTTGCAGACAAATTAGGCCCAGGGATGGATTTTAAGTATTTTCATTAACATTTTTTATTTATTTATTTGAGTTGGAGTCTCACTCTGTTGCCTGGGCTGGAATGCAGTGGCAGGTTCATGGCCACCACAACCTCGACCTGCTGGGCTCAGGCGATCCTTCCACCTCAGCCTTCCAAGTAGCTGGCACTACAGGCGTGCACCACCATGCCCAGCTAATTTTTTGATTTATTGTAGAGACGTGGTCTCGCCAAGTTGCCCAGGCTGGTCTTGAACCTGTGGGCTCAATCAATCCTCTCGCCTACACCTCCCAAAGTGCTGGGATTACAGGCATGAGCCACAGCGCCTGACCTTCATTAACATTTTTAAATTGTGAGATTTGGTTTCTTTCTAACCGTATCTTACTGGTCAGGAGTAGTGATATGGTTGTGACCGAACAGGGATGGGTAGGCAAGAAGATTATTACTTTAGTTCTGTTTTTGACAATGAAAACTTTGACGGGGAGGGAGGGCTACCTGGGTTTACAATAGGATTAGAAGATTAGGCTGGGTGCAGTGGCTCAAGCCTGTAATCCCAGTCCTTTGGGAGGCCAAGGTGAGAGGATTGCCTGAGCTCAGCGGTTTGAGACCAACCTGGACAACATGGCAAGCCCTCGTCTGTACAATAAATCCAAAAATTAGCTGGGTGTGGTGGCGCACCCCTGTAGTCTCTGCTGCTTGGAAGGCTGAGGGGGAAGGATTGCCTGGGCCCAGTAGGTTGAGGCTGCGGTAGCTGTGAGTGTGCCACTGCACTTCAGCCTTGGCAACAGAGTGAGACTTCAACCCAAAAAAAAAAAAAAAGAAATTAAACTCTTGACTTGGTTTATGTTTCTATTACCATGAAAACCATTAAAAAATGTGTACCAATTTAGCAGTTGATTTGTTTATGGCTTTTCAATTTTGTGTCACTTTAAAAAGTCTTCCCCAATTGAACAGTGAAAAAAAATTCATTTCTGTTTTAAATTAAAGTCTTTGATCCGTCTGGATTTTTAGGATAAGCTTAGGAGGCAGGTTTCTTTTCTTTTCTTTTCTTTTCTTTTTTGAGTCAGGGTCTCACTCTGTCACCCAGGCTGGAGTGCAGTGGCACGATCTCAGCGCACTGCAGCCTTTACCTCCTGGGCTCAGGTGATTCTCCCACTTCAGCCTCCCAGATAGCTGGGACTACAGGCGCAGGCCACCACGTCCGGGTAATTGTTAAAAAAAAAATTTGTGGAAACGAAGTCATGCTATGTTGCCCAGGCTGGTTTCTTGGACTGAAGCAATACTCCCGCCTTCCAAAGTGCTGAGGTTACAGCTATGAATCTGCCCGGGTTTACTTTTGAGGCAAAAATGTATGTGAAGTAACAGCTTTTCTGCAGAGAACTTGGAATGATACAAGAGAGAATGAAAATACCTACCTTCCCGGCACCGTATCATCTACAGCAGTTAGAACCATCCTCATCTTATATCTCAATTTTCTTTCACTTGAGATTACAATACGAACATAGGCTTAGGAGATACATAATGTAATTAATTCATTTTGAGTCGAGGTCTCACCCTGTCGCCCGGGCTGCAGTGCTGTGGCGCGATCTCAGCTCACTGCAGCCTCGGCCTGCTGGGCTCAGGAGAGCCTTCCGACTTAGCCTCCCAAGTAGCTGGGACTACAGGGGTGTGCCGCCACGCCCGGCTACCTCTTCTTGATTTACTGTGGAGATGCGCGGTCCCGCCAGGTTGCCCAGACTGGCCTCGAACTGCTGGACTCGGGC